CGGGAATACGGAAACTTCGTCCAGCCGACATAGTTCATCCCAACTTTTGGCAGGAAACCAATCGGCCGGATTTGCATGTGGATTGTCCAGACCAACTCCACCGGTCAGAACAAAACGCCATTCTATCTCATTCAAATGACCCTCGTGACGTGTCATATTCACAGCCAATAGGAATGAGAAAAGTAATTTGTCTTTTTCGAACAAACTACGACATACATTGCAGTACAGTGAATAGGTCAAATAGCTTCGTAAATTGGCTAATCGTTGTTGTAGATCGTCTGACTTCTCGGAATTATCGATACCCATATTGAACAGATTAATAAACCACGTTAACGAGTATTGATACATTGGATCGATATTGGCTAAATCAGCGATCGAGAAGAAAAGAATGGTCGAATGTACCGCGATAGGCACATAGCCCAAACGGGCTGCGTCAATCTTCTGTTCTGTCTCTTCGAAATATGCTTGTTTCTCAGCAATTTCATTTGACAGTTCTTTCGAGGAATTCAACACTTGAATTGCACTTTCATCTTCCAGAATATTGCCCTCGGAACTGGAAAGGACACCCAGAATTTGATCTTCTAGTTCTTTCAGTTTTTTCTTGTTTGCTGCGCCCTGAAGAATTAATTTATTCTTCTCATCCTCCAATTCCGGACGTTCACGAGCGACCACAATACCCAGGAGTTGATCTTGCAGACCTTCTTGAGTGATCATGAAGTTCATCAGGGTGACTTTCACTGCCGTTTCCGGGAGGTAGTGTGGATTGCGAAGCTATAAGAAATTAAATTCAAGAGTTTTGCAATGAAAATAGTTAGCATTATTGGGGGGAAACAGCAAATGTTTGCTCTATGGATTGACTGGAGAGATGCTAATGATTGTTGACAAACTCCTGTACTTCATAAATTACTTCCAAAAAACACTGCATCACAATTTTTGGGGTGATATTAGTGTAGGCATTGATAACAATCAAAAGATTGATCAATTTAGTTGGAATTTGTGTGTATACAGGTATCAAATAGTTTATGAAAATTCTGGGTTGAAAAATGGAGCATAATACTTTTTCTGACATTCTATATTGTACAGCACCAAACGCTAATGGTTCAGTATCTACTGTCGTCACTTTCTTACATCCACATGCTGTGCAATTTTTTTGATATTTCGCTTACCTAAAGATCTTTTTGTTATTTTCTACGAGTTCTCAGAGCATGGATATTGGTAATCTTATGTGGGTCTCCCTCCACGGGATTTAATTTAATTCCCTTATTTTTGATGCATTTTATGGAGAAGGCCAACAAAGAGAGCTGTTTCATCCTTATTGGGGTTCATCAACAGGGCCTACTATCCTTGTGCCCCAAATGGGATTCTAAGTCTGTACACCCAGGTTAGGAACCACAAACCGTTAACCCTGAGCTATCATTGTTTTGTTGTTCAGAAAAATGTAACGCTAGAAATATGTCCCACATTAAAACAACAATTTAAACTAGTGTCCAGCTATATGAAAACCGTGGGGAACATTCAACCTTCTGAGCAAACGTCAAAGTTTCGGTCATTGATTGCCACCACAAACTCTGTGTTTTACAAACCCAAGCCATTTTTCCTCATGTGGACATGCCAGTGGTTATCTCATTTTTTGCGTCATTCGTTATTTTTGCGGTCAAAACTATTTCCATTTATTCGGATAAATAAAACATTTAACAAATGGTATGCAACTGAAACACCCAAAAATGTTCAATTTCTTTCCGTTTCTCTTCTTCGTTTAGATTAGATAGTTAGGTAGTTAATTAGTTAGTTAGTTAGTTGTTTGGTTAGTTAGGTTAAATAGTTTCCGTTCCTCTCATAACGATGTCGCTTTAGAACTGCCAAGCGCCCACCTCCGGAATCGAACTCATTAATTAAAATCAAGTAGAATAGTATTGGAGATTGGTTCTCATCTCATGACTATTCATTTCATTTGTTTCTTCCAAATGCTCCCCTCTTTTCTGTAAAAGATCAACTCATACAAATATAACTACTGATCATATATCTTGGTTTTGTACTACCATCACTTATCATGATCTATGGACTTATAGAGGACAATTCTTAAAGTAAAATGACAGCGGAGTTCTCCCTTCGAGTAAGAATACTTTCGGCTTATCATAATTTAACCATTACATATCTGAGCACGTCTTTTTTCCGCTGTTCTACTGGTTGTACTAATCGACCAATGTTTTCGTTCCTACATTTATTTGTATGTAGCTTTTTCATTCTTCATTTTTACATCCTTTTGTTGAATATTGATGCAACTTTCAGGACGGGGGAAGCGGCCGATCGAAGATCTGCCGTAAAACACACCAATAAGATCCGCGAAACACAGTGGTTTATTCAAAAATACTTGTGGACCCAGTCACTGCAAAAATTTCATTTTTTAAAATGTTCAGTTATTCATCCTCTTAAATAATTAACTTGAAAAAGCTATACCTTCCTTTTTCACATGGTCACAGTTCGCACTTCGAGCTAACAGTATTTATGCCACACCCTAATTCTAGTTTGCCACATTTTTTCTCTTGCCTGTTGATTTCGTAAATACTTTTATTACGCACATTATTATTAGATTCTATAATTTTGCAACTATAGAGATCGCCTAAAAGCTGAAAAGGTACTCTCGTTAAGGTGCATTCTATGACCTCGACCTGTTCCTAATTGAAAAGAACCAAATACCAATATCCCTTTCCCAATGAAATTTATCCACGTGGTCTTGAAAACGGTAACGTTGAGCGTGTTGAGATCATGACATCCATTTCTGGATGGTACCCTGAATCCGATTGGTCCCGCCACGATGTCCATCGGTCAGTAGTACGCAACAGCCAACCAGCGATTGACACGATGCAACTGATGACCTTGAACAGTACTACCTCGCTCATGGACGTTACTGGCCAATCAAAGCTCAAGCAAATAACAAGAAACTCCAGCCGACTATACGTTCAGTATCCTACATAATATTTGTATTCACTTTTACTTGATATTGTTTATCCTATTTTTTTTGTTTGTGTTCAGCTTAACCCTAAAATAAGTATAATTGCTTCAATGGAAATAGGGTCATTTGCATTGGTGGCGAATGCGTCTGAAGAATCATTGTCGAACCAGAGATTTATTAAAAAACACTATAAAATCGTTTTCACAGTGTTGTTTAACATTTTTCGAGGGAATATTCGCAAAAAGACAGCTTATTCACGATTCTATGTCAAAATGATCACCACATATTCATCTAGTAGAGACAGTATTTCATCGATCAGGTGAAAAGCATTTTTCATTGGCTTGAGTTTTTGGTAAAGTTGTTCGAGCCTAGTGCGTTTTGGATTGATTTTCATTGATCTGTTTTCGGAAATGGGTTCATGTGTAATTCATTTCATTCAACTCCTGTTACGGTTTCTATCACGGGCAGCTTCTACCGCGATACTGACCACACTGTAATCCAGGATTCACAAAAGTGAATGGGTTTATCATCGCGAGTACGATTGTGACCACATAGGTATCTAAAAACTTCAAGGTTCTACTTACCCTTCGGCTTGGCATGCCATTTTGTGTGACCACAGGCACTATTAGATCGTCTGTTTCAAAACTGTTGGCATCACACTGGCTCGTCAGAAAATCTGTCCACTAAACTCAGTAATATTCAGCCAAAATATTTTACTCACACCGACGGATGGATTTCGTTTATGAGTTAGTTCTATACTACCAAACGGATACTGTCATTAAGTTGACCTGGATAGAAGACAGAATATCAAAGCTAGCAGGTTAAGTAGTTCATTTTCACACGTGTACTTCGAAAGATAAAAAGATGCAAAGAAAAACGTATTACCTGTCCGGACTAGAGCAAGTACAGAACCAACGGGTGTATTCTGTTCGCAATAATCCCAACGGGATTGAGAAAATATCGGGTTAACAAAGTCCAGGGGTGTTAAATTTCATGAATAATAACCAGTTAAAACATGTAACCATTTTTGAGCCTGTACGAATGAAAAGACAGGTTAGAGATCATTGATACAACAAAGTGCACTTTGGAGGGGTGGGTGAGCATATTGTCGACCCTAAGTGTTTGTCAGACATGCTGGGCTGAATCTTCAAACCGTCCATTACTTCGAGAACTTCTGAGTGACTTAATGTGTGATAAAGTTACCGATGATTTATATTTGCTTCCGTTTGAATTAGTACATGTAAACAATTTTGAATTTGGTCAGGTGCGAAACTATCTGCTATTCCACCGGGAACGTATATTTATCTAATAGAAGTTTTCACAAGGAAAAAAAGATTGTATACCTTTGCAACATATATTTTTATTTGCTGCACTTACATCTTAACGTCTACTCTAAAATACACGCACTCCGACACGAAAATATGGGCTTTTGGATCACAATCCACCAGAGAGTAACACGTTGTATGCTGTTTCCTTCCATTTATCAAATAGTCTGTTACGATGATCAATTCAACGTGTCACGTGACGCAACAGTCACTTCATTTCACTTGTCGATAAGTGTGCGCAGGCAAATACCAGCTCACACAGGAATCGCAAACGGAAGCGATCACAAACCGCAAACAGAATCAGTCACAGGGACACCAACAAAGACAAACGTAAAAGTATAGAATCACGTGTGCTCACCTTTGTGGTCATATAAAATCGGAACTCTGGAGAATACTCGACCACAGAATCTCCCAATTTTATACACAATGCTCCACCTTGTTTGAACGTCTGTTTAAGCAAAAGCGGTTCAAGCATGGGGTCCAGCTCTTCTCCGATTCCCTCGAGCAATACAGGTGTACCGAATTGGATACAATTTTCCAATGTTCGCACAAAATCCGTATTGGTCAGTTTGATCACTTGTAAATTGTTTTTCTTCTCCATATTTTTGACCCATTTGTTTGCTTGACTTGTTGGATCGATCATCAGCGGCCAGCGGCGTGCATTACTGTGACAGAGGGCGGGACGGAGGAGTGTGTGTCGGAAGGGACAAGGAGTGCAGGTATGAAGGATTATATTGATATCGTTGAAATAAATGAGCTGAGAGGAAATCATTCCTGTGTGAGTGGCTTCGCGAGAGTTTTCATACCCTCATCATATGTCATAGTTTGATGGGTCAACCACTACTTACCTTGGGAAACGTCGTAAACTGAGGCAGTCTATTTGATGGCATGTGTGTCACACGTTTAGGCCATCTTAATCTATGGAGGTCACTCGCTTACAGAAATGAGTGACCACCAAATCATGATATTATGCACTTACCCCTACCACTCACTGTTCCAACAAACTGGTACCATTCGGCTGCATTTTACCACCGATGTTCTGTGCCTATAATTCACCCGTAATAGCTATGAATCTGCACCAAATAACAGTAATTTTCAGCAGAAAGGACAAATGAAATCCAGAAACCAAAAAGATGCACAAAGAAATGCCACTGGTTAAACAGCTATTCGCCAATAGCCCGAAAGTTGTTGTTGTTGTTGTAGGTGGTGGTGGTGGTGGTTGGTCGTTCAAGCCGAAAATACACACTGATTATGAGTCCTAACAAGAACGAAACAGCTTTCCAGTGAGTATTCGTCTACCTTCGTAAGGAAAAGTTCATTACATTTAAAAATACATAACCATATTGAGCATCAAAAATATTTCATGCCGTGAGACCCGTACAAGAACATGATATCTGAAAGATTCCCATCACAGCATTTAGAACAAACTCAGTTTGGTGAAACAATTGTTTTTCAGTAATTTCTTCTCAAGCCGTTTACAGATTACACAGGTAACATCATAAAACAGACCACACAGTTAGACATCACCAATCATGAGTAAGAGTTTGTCTTAGTCAACTGGCACTTGTCATTTGATTGGTTTAACTAAGTTACGGCATCAGGGTAACCGGACGGCGGACACACTCAGGACCGATCGATCACGGGCCATGGAAGTTGGAGTGGCTGGACCAAACGCTTTTGGTCACGGAGGTCAGTAGGTCAACTTTCTTATCCCGATCGCTTCGGCTATTGCTAGAGTGCGCAGTTGAACACCCTTGCACTTGGTGTGGGGGACACGATAAACAACTCTGAAGGCGACATACGGATTTACTTGATGTCCGGTGTCGACTAAATGGGCTAGGATGGAGCTGTTTATTGTCCCGGTCTGTCCGAGTCTTAACCAGCGTGGGTGATGCTCTTTGATCCGGGTAGATAGCTGTCGTGCCGTTCGACCAACATAAGATGGGCCACATACGCATTTGGAAGAGAATACAACCATTGATGAGGTCAGCATCGCCAGTTTATCCTTGTTTTGAATGTGAATCAATGGAGCGCCACGAAGCACGCACCGTAACTTAGCAGCGTTGAAGGCGTTGCCAATCTCCCTGTTCAGTCGTCGAAGTAGGATTTCGCTCACGGTATCGCCTTTGAATGGCAAACTGATGAACAAATCTTTCTTTCTCACAGTTTGCATGGGAGTTTTCGGCATTTGTTCAATCAGATTTCTTTCGACAAAACGATCCGGGTATCCATTCTCACGCAGGGTGTTTCTAATGAGCGTCAGCTCTTCATCCAACAACTCCTTAGAGCAAATTGCCCTCGCCCTGGTGGCCAAGCATTTGACTAAGTTTCGTTTCTGTTGGATGTTAACGAAACCATTGAAAATGGTGTACGGGCCAGTCCATGGCGGTTTTCGGTACACCTTTCGTACGATCCGACCATCTTCCATTCGACCAAGAGAACACGATACACAAACCCTGGTATGTGTTGTACGTCTTGTATGAGAACTGGACGCCGGCCCCTAATGAATTGTTATTTTCACACACCACTCCGTCACTTTTCGGGTCAGGTTTTGGATCACTAAATGCTTCAATTGTGAATCCCACCCCCCAGAAAATTCACCTGCTTTGAGTTGGTGTGTCTGTTAATATTCCGCCCAGAAGCAAACCATGCACCGATTTGTTGGTATTGGTGTTCTCCGAGCTAGAAGTGTTGTTTGCAGGCGTCTCGTAGCCAGGCCGGGCAACATCATCAGTGCAAATTCGGGGAGAACACACCAACACCAACATCCGTATCCTAAGCTAGAATCATTCCACATCATTTGGATATACCGATTTATTTGTTGCACAGATTGTTGTTTAGCAAACAGTATGAACTCAGGCACATTTAAAATATAATGACAATAGTAACTACGATGACCATGAACCCTGTTATTAATCAGTTCTCACGAACTGTACGAATTCTTTATTTTTACCCTGACACTGATTTCTAGATTCCAATCTCCCCTACACTCGTTCATCCAAATGGGCAGCCGTAGTATAGAAACCAAGATAGCTGCAGGAAAGAGCATGAATACTGGTTGTGGAAACCGGACCGATGTATAATACAACAGAATGTCCCATATGACTTTTCCTTTTCATCAATGCCATCTTTCAATATCAATGCAATCAATGATTGTTCAAAGGTTTGACGTGGCAAAAATGAGTGCTAAAAATCCACCGTATTGGGTGCCTAAAGCATAAAGAAAGAAATCGAACGGTTACCAGTTGCTGTTTGCGCGGACAATAAACTTAAAATCTTAGCTGGGAAAAAATGGTAAGCTAATAGAGAAAAACTGACTGAGTTCGAAGACCTACGCAATGATAATCCCATTTTCCACAGAAAAATCGTCCGTGGGCAGACCGGCAATATTCCAGGCACGAATCTCCACTGGATTACCCAACGTATTCACCAAACTGAATACCTGAGAGCACGGAATGGCGCTTTGCTGCACTTCTGTCAACCAGTGTTTGATTTGGTCTTGTCGGAATGATGAGGTGAACGCGCCTAGATAGGCCACAACACCACTGGAAATAAGTACATCCCCAGTCAGATTGATGTACTGTTCACCCAGATTCTTAGCAGCTTCTGTCCATCTGGACTTCTCTCCACCCAAGCCACCAATCAGTTGTTCCGCACGTTCCAACTTTTTCGTGCAAATGTCCACTTTATTTTCCAAGTCAATCTTTTTCCGTTTATTCATTTCCAAATCATCTGTGAGCAAGCGCAATCGGTCCTGCACCTCTTTCAATGCTGCTCGTTTAACATTAAGTGCATTCATAGCGGTAGTGTATTCACTCATTGCGCGAGCCAGAGCTTCCTTTTTCGGGGCCACAATTTTGGCCACTGCATCATAACGATCAATTGCAATCACCCATTTACAGAGACCTTCACAGGCAGTTGAGGCGACTGCAACACGTTCAGGTTTGAAATCAGGATTAGGTATATAACGTTCTCGGATCGTTTTCATGATTGAATTGGGAATATTGTCCTTGTCGAATCCTTTGAGGTTTTCCAGAAATTTCATGTCACCTAGCAACCGCTTGGAAGGACCCCAGTAATCTTCCACTTTCTTTCCCGAACCACCGGGATCATTGATGCGGTCCGGCTTTATTCCTTTCAGCACACAAACTGCTTCCATGACCAGACGCACACCAGCAGGTGGCGATTTCATGGTTTTCACAATGGTAATATCCTAAAATGAAAGACATCGAAACAAGAAATGTATAAATTAAATAAATGAGTATTTCAAAAATGAATGACTTCTGCGCGGTATAATACGTGTGCCTGAGATAACAAGATAGAGTGTCGAACTACTTGTAAGTAGTTTAAGGAAAAATAAAAAAATAATAAAATATATCCGAACACCAACGCCAGAATTTGAACAACCCGCCATACCTCATTCCAGACTACCGTTAAAAGAAATTTCAGGAAACCGTTTCGTGATACAAATACAGAGAAAAAGTATTTTGAGCTTCACTTCAGTAGAAGAAGTCTAGAACTAGTTTTTAAAACCACCAAGTAAGCATTCCGTTGTACACACCTATGTATGCTGCCCCACCGCACAGACAATCAGAACACAGAACGAAGAACAAAAAGCAAAAAAGAAAGTAAATGACTGATAGAATTCTTGAAAGGCGGTATCTGAAGTAAAGATTGTGAATCATTGTGTGTGTGTTTGTGGTAAAACTTTCCTTATCCAAATTAACCATGGTGTGTTCGGGGCCGTACTGAAGCTATCATTAAACCGAATTCAACTATTCCTAAACAAGTTAACAGTTTAAATCAAGTGAGTTAGAAAAAACTCGATAATGATGGTACCACAGATCTAGTACCGCTGTGTATGTCGATAGTCGCCGGACTACTGGTTTTCCAGTCATTCCTCAGTCGTGTCGAACCGATTCTCACTCCTTTTGATTTCGTTTCCCACCATTTTACCTCATTCCAATGTCTGATTTCTACGCTGTGAAACCATTTTCATCAAAAAAAGAACTGGAATCAAAATAAAATGAACCCAGGGTGTCTGCAAAGAAACCATCTGTTACCTTTTTATCTGTGAGCTCAAGGTTTTCATCGAGCTACAAGTTTTCTTGTCGTTACTTAGCCCAATCGGATCTGAACCCACTTCGAATCCGTCGAACTATGTATCCCCCTAGACAATGGTCAAGCTAAAACCGGTATAGGGGTGCAAAAACGCTGACTAGGAGACTGAGCCATGTACATTGTGTTAGGCCACCTGGACGGGAATCTCGGGATCAGTGTAATCGATGATTAGGTACATTAAGTGATACGGCTGCGTGTCGTATCCAGTGAAGTTCGGGCATCTACTGCTTTACGGAGGACTTGGGTGGTTCGCCACTTGGGATATCATGGTATAAGTGGACAATAGGTTCAAGTAACTGTGGAGTCTAATAACTTCTACCGTTCATGAAAGATTAGCATGTAATAAAAATACTTAGTGGGAGCAGAGAAGAGAACGGTCATGAAAAATCTTAAGGGGAATCCTTGAACTGGTTTCAGATTTCAACTTCTCTCCGCACGTGCATCCTCATAGAGAAACCCCGTCCTTCTCCACCTGGATCATACCTTGTATAATTCAACGGCAATTTTCATACACTGTAAGGAAAGAGTCTTGCATCCACAATTTTTCTTGAACTACAGTATCTAATTTGTTTCTGTTTTTTATCGTTATACATATCCGCCATATTCGTTCATAAATTGCCGAAAATTCACTCCTTGGGTGCACAAAGTATTTCCTGACTTGACGTGAATAAATAAAGTAGATACATTTGTACTTTCAATCCGAAACTGAACATATCTCACGGATTAATCCACACCTAACAAATGAGAGCCTCTCAGGATCCTAAAACGTTTGAGCCCGGCCCACAAACTTTGAGACTGTTAGCATTTTATTGCATGACAGACAACGTTCGTTACATCAGAATGCAGGCGCTGTAAATCAACATCCGATTATTCATTCATTCAGTGATTGGAAATAAATCCAATATTTTTATTTCTTTTATCACTTTTCTTTACTGATTCGGAATAAAATAATTCCATTTTTTGTTTTCTAACTTTCTACCAAAATGCTATATCGCCATTGCATTTGTACATGCAAGCATACACATGGGGCGGACCGTTCACTGATGGGCACCCCGTGTATTTCTACGTGCTACTTGTTACATCATCCCGACTGAGTGCGGGTAAACTGATTTCCCAAAATTCAGTCCAAGGACCCAACAGGCCTCTGTGACCTTATGTAGCTCAAGGCACAGTCTACTGGTTGCGCAATGATCCACTGCGCTATTGACATCTCTGCCTCTGAGTACTTTGCAACAGGTCACCAGTCAAACCTACCGCGGGTGTCAGTGTTTCTAAAGCCTTTAAGGCCATCTCTAGAATTGGAATAGCCTCGGCCAAGTCCGCATCACATTCTTCCTTGATCGCTTCCGCGTTGCGGGCCTGCTCGCCGGCAACTGCTTCGTCCACGCGCACGGTTTTCTCTTGTTTTGCGGCTTCAGCGCTCTGTTGTTCCACCACAACCATGACCGCGTCAACCTCTTTACTGGCCAGAACAAGTTTCGGCTGAAGTGATTGCAGTTCCTTAGACATGACCGAGATTTCCTCGGCCGCGCTGCTCAATTTCTCCAATCCGACTTCGTAACGGCTCTTTTGTAGGAGCACTTCACTGAAATGGAAAAGTGAATCAAATGGAGAAATGAAATCAAACACACGGGATAAACACAGATAATGAAATCTTCTGGCCTGTTACCCGGCACTTTGGACAACAATCATTACTATAGGTTTAGTTCTGGAGTTTGAACAGCTATTTCATAGCGTGTGTTGCGGTAGTCAAGTGACATTGGTCACCCCGTCACCCCCGCCTGGGGCCTCGTGTTCAAACCCCATCAAGATCGCCAAACTATCTTACTACT